GGCTCTAGGCGGCCCTAGGCGGCCCTAGGCGGCTCTAGGCGGCCTAGGCGGGTCTGGGCGGGCGTTTTGCCGTTGAGGCGTGGACGAAGGGCGATTGAAGCGCGTAGGATCTGCTGCTTGTTAGGAAGAAAGACAGAGAGAGAGAGAGATCGAGGCAGAGAGGAAGGAGAAGGCAACACTGGGAAGAAGAAGACATCTGACCTAATTTTTAATATAAACGGGTTGGGTTTTGTAAAATGGACTTAAACATTGTATTAAAATGGGCCTATTTTGTAGCCATTGAGGACAAAGAAGAAGGAGCTTAAGCCAATCAGAAGTATCCTAAAAGAAGCTTAAGCCTTCAAAGACCAAACTTCATAAAAGAAGTATCCTAAATTCAAAATTATTCAAAAATGGCAATGGTGAATTCTTGACAAAATTCAGGCTTTGAGACAAGAAAGTATTACCAGGGGAAGTTGGATTGAAAAGCATTCTAATATGAAATTCTTTCTTTGCATAATCTTAGCTTAAAGGAGGAATATATGTTTAAAAAGCAAATATCAAACTTGCAACTTATTTAATAAGGAACACCCAAACAAGATAAATGCAACGGATCTCCAGAACTGTTAAGGAAAAACTAACAAGGCAAAACCCTTGAAGGTGAATTACTTGCCCATTTTTAGAGAGGAGATGGTGGAAGATGGAACAATAGAGAGAAAAAAAAATTAAACCATGTAGGGATAAGACATTAGAAAGATAGTAGCTATTTTTTTTTTCTTTTTCTGGATTTGTTATGTATTCAGACCACATTCAGGTATATCATCAACTGGTATAATTCACAAACTTTAAGACACAACGAGATACTTAAAAGATTTAAACACAAGTAAATCAAAATAGCCCAAAAGCATAAATGCATTGCAAGCAACAACAAAGGTGTTTATATGTTACCAGGTCCAGGAGCATCTTCAAAAGTGTGTGTGTCACAATGTAAGCAAGCGCAGATTTAATCTGATCATCCCCTTCAACATCATCGACACATTCCCCTTGTTCATAAGTTTCCACCAAAACAGCAGGATGCACAAACGGGCAAGTTCTCTTGCAAGATCAACTTGAGACATTATAAAAACTGCAAACTGCTGTACACTCTCATCCAATCTCCACCACTTTAAAGCAGGAATGAAGTTTGAAATTTTTGCTACCAGATTGATTATAACAAAATCTCCTAATCGATTCACAAACACCAGGATGCCTAACCTTTACGGCAACTACTCTGGGCTTCACCTGTTGACCAGCTCCATGCACTTGAGCAATACTTCCAGATGCTACTGGTTTCTCTTCAAAATTATCAAAACTCTCCGGGAGCTTGTGGCCAAACGCTCGTTCGATAGTTTTCCAAGCAAAGCTATGTTCAGGAGCTACTGGTTTCTCTTCAAAATTATCAAAAATCTCCGGGAGCTTGCGGCCAAACGCTCGTTCGATAGTTTTCTTCGCGCAGGCAAAGCTATGTTCAGGAGCCTTGGTGTGAAGCTCTGAGAGCTTGGTGCATAAAGAAAGAACACCAACTATAAACGATTACGTGAATTCCAGTGTATCACCACAAATTAAAGGCGATTGAATCGTCAGAAGAAAAAAAATTGAAAAAAAAAACGAAAATCCGCCCAGGCGCTAGGCGGCCGCCTAGGCCGGTCTGGGCCTTTTTTGTTTTTTTGTTTTTTTAAAATAGATTTTTTTTTCCAGGTTAAATTTTAATGCTTTTTAAATCCCCAGTAGTAGATTAAAAAAATATTTCTTTAAATGATATTCCTAGTTGAAAACATTTATTTTCTATTTGTTGGCAATTTCCGACATGATTTCATACACGACTTGAAACCCGCTCGATTAAATTTTGTAGAGTGTAGAGTGACCAAATCCCCTCTTCCTCGTACATTTTTCTTTGCCATTCAGATACTCTCCCCTTTGATAAACACAGAAAAAGTAAGTTGAGAAAACAGGCAATACAAAATATTCAAAGATGTAAGATGAAAAGGCAAAATAATTAGCAGCATAGTCACTGACATTTCATATATGGTTAACATTCATACATTGTTCTAAAAAAGGTTGGCCCCCTATCGATCGGTGCCCACGTGTCAAAATAAGTAGAGCCATGTGGCTATACGATTTAATAAAAAAAAATAAAAAACCGAGTATCGATGCGCGGCTATACTATTTATTATTAAAAAAAATCACCATCTCGCATTTTTGTTACAACAAGTAAGAAATAATCTTAGCCTCTCACATTTATTCATAGTTAGTAAAATATGGAACGGAAAAAAATACTAATAAAATATGTACGTGTTTTATTCGGCAAAATTTTGGCTAATTACAACTTAAAAGTTTGGCCATTATATAATATTTTAATATATAATATTTTTATTTAATAATATGTGTGAATTTTTGTATAATATGTGAATTTTGTGTGTCTTATTGAAAATTTTGTACAAAATATGTGTATTAAACATGAAAAATACGTACATACATGTACAATATGATTATTGTACATTTGCCTTTTAGAAAGCATGAATTTTATCAAGTTTTAAACATGTGTATAGAATATGGATGTGTTATTGAAAAATACGTACATACATGTATAATAGAATATTAAACATGAAAGTGCTACATACTTTATACAGGTAATAACTCTGGAAAAGTAACAAATGAAAATGGGACAATATAGACTTGGGTAATGGCCTAATAGTAATGGATAATGCTTTAACATACTCTTACTGATAAATGAAAATAGGGGAAAAAAATTTAAAGAAAAAAAGGATGCTAGTATATATATAAAGAGTATAGCCGATTG